ATAGTTCAGCTTTTCTAGATCTGTCTGGTTTGCTGCAGCCCGGCGTAGATACGGAGCAATGGCCTCAGATAGGGTGTGGATTCGAGAAACTCCAATAGGAGCAAGTTCACCTGAATTGCTGAGATAACCTTCGAAAGTGTGAAGGAACTTTGCGAAAGGTTGCGCGTTTCCTTGTCTCACAGAGTAAAGGAGGCGTCGATTTCGAGCTTCACGGTCCCTATCAACGAAGTGCCAGTCGAATTCGTCGAGAAGTGAACTTGAGTAAAATTATTTAGCTTTAACTTGTTTCTCAAAGAAAGACCCCACTCGGCTTCTGTGCTCCGCTGGTAACGTCTGCATAAGTGCAAGGCAGACGCCTCTTTCACCACCAAAACCCTTGATGATTGCTGGGTCCTCCGCTGCTACTCGCCACATGACTGAGCATAAAGAATATTGATCAGGTGTTCCATCCCAAGTTGTGAACTTGTGCTGTACTGCGTCGGTTTGGTTTGTCATTGTGGCTTTAATATTTCTGGTTTCGTGTTTAGTTGTTGCGATTTTTGATTCAGGCGTCTGTGGCTCTGGTTCCAGGGCAGGTCTGTGAGACTCTGTATTTGCACTTGAGGCGTCGATTTCTATCGCAGAAATTTCACGGAGAATACCTTCAAGGTTAAAATTGTCGTCACTACTCATATAATTGCGAGACGTCGCTGGTTACAAGTGGTTTAGACTAAAATGGAGATTACAATCAATGTGATAGCATGAGGGTCAGGAAAGACTCTGACTAAAAGGCAAAACAATAATATCATCGTAATCTATGAGGAGAGAAAGACATGGTGGCTAACGCAATACTATATACACATAAAAGTGGTTCCTCACTGGTCCAAGCGTACATTGTAGCACGTGATTAGTGTCCTATGACAGCAGGTGTCTACGAACTCTAATATTTACATAGGAGGAAACCTTGCGGTAAAAACCCCCTTAGCTGTCTGACTTGACTCTGCGCGATTATAGTCTTACCTCTAGGAAGTGCACTCACACTGTTGTTGCCAGTGTGGATTCCGTCCTTGTCCTGTGTATCCATTTTCCTCTCTTCGCCTGATTAACACCTCGATTTCCCCGGTCATCCGAAACTGCTCTAGCCATCCTTCCTTTTGAATCCACTGTGCAATTCTCGTCATATCTTTGACGTTATTAACCATAGCTTCGAAAGATCGAGTTGTAGATTTTCGTAGCAGCTCACCTCGTCCCTTCGCCCATCTTGGACAGAACATTACCATGTGCTTTATATTTTAGGATGGATATCCACATTGGCAGCTTGGTTTTCCGACTCCTGGCACATAACTTCTGTACAAGGAAGCATTGAGCCCAATGTGCTCGCTTCTTACTTGTGTGGCAATGCTACTCTGGGCCCTGCTAAAGTTTTACAAAAAATTGGGTTGTTTTATTATTTTTGGTCCTAAGCTAACGCTATGTTTTCCACATTGGGTCAAGGACAGGTGGAGCCGGCAGGGTTCCCTGTAATCTTTCCTACAGCCTAACTCGTTCCAACCCCGTGAATCGCTACCAAAAGTGCAGCTGATTAAACCGAAACGAAAATTCACAAAATTCAAAACAACTCCGAAAACCAGGAGGTTCCTTCACATTGGACTCAAGCAATGTGCTCCTCACACATTCCCTCGTCCGTCACACCTACCAAATGACAAATTTGCCCAACTCCGCTGAGAGCAAAAGATGGGTTAGCAGGCACCTTTGGTCCAGCCGGTATCCTGCTATTGGTTAGTAGATGTCCCTTCCGGGACATCGTCGAGGTTGCTGTGTCCTCAAGCTTCTTTTTCAGATTCCTATACTCTGAAACCTGTAGCCTCGGCCATCGAGACGTCCTTCGCCGCGGCGATGATCGCCTCTTCGGCTTTTTTAGCTGCTGCCCGAGCTCGTGCCACCTTCACGAACTCCCCTTGCTGGATGTGACGGATCCGCTCGCACTGCTCTTTTTGCTCTGGTCCTGTCTTGTTGGGTCTGGCTTGGCAGGCCAGAGAATCCGATCGGTGAGGTCCCCCACAGTTATGACACTTAGTGGGGGCCTTGCACTCGGCTTCCGAGTGCATGTCAGATCCGCAATTCCAGCAGGCTGGAGCAGGCTGGAGCACAGGAGCAATCACGGGTGACGTGGAAGCCCAAACAGCGTTTGCACTGTTCAATTTTTTGACGAGGCTTTAGAATGGTCGCCACTCCAGACTTGCCGAGAATACGGAGTCCCGGACGAATAGGGCTTTCCAATTTCTGTACGGCGCTCCAGGACGGCATGTCCCGTGCGGTAGCACCTGAGTTGGAAACTGCTGCGTTTTCCTGTATATCTCATATATGATCCTTTCCGCATCGATCGTATAGATACCGCCGACCGTTCTCATAGTCACTGGAACATTCGCGATCCGAAAGGCGACAAGGTTGGAGGCTTCCTCGAACTTGGCGTTGAATTCCGCCAACTTCGGTGTAGCCTCTAGGAGCTCTTCCCTTATTTCCTCATTCCCTGTCAGAATTGCAAAGCCGGTTCTGACACGGTGTATAGAGTAGGCGTCACTCAAGGTTCACTCCAGCCTGATCTGTGATTTTTGCCTTATTCCGAGAGTCGAAAGCTGGCGCCAGGGGTGCTTCTTTTCCAGGCGAAGGAACATTCGTTTGTCGACTTTCGCCTTGGGAGCTTCTTTATTTTGGGCTCTCGCCACAGGTCGCGGCACAGCCTTTGCAGTGGGGACTGCTTTTTGTCGCATTCCGTTTCTGGCCACCGTGGCCCAGGTACTTTTCACAGGTAGAGCTGGGACGGCGGGAATGGGTGTGCTCATGGCTTCTGGAGCCCTTGGGGTCGGGTTCGTAGGGCGAGGAGGGAGGACGGGTGGCGTGGCCATGTATTGCGCAATGGCGGCGCGTAGGTAGACTCTCATCGAGCCTACGAATTATCTATTTGACCCATTGGTCAAAGGGAGGAGGGTGGCTTCGACGCCAGAGATGGCGGCGGAAGAGAGGGCCAGATTTGCCGCTATTTCGGCGACGCGTCGTTGTTCAGCTCCGACTATTGGTCGGAGCCCGAGGGGACACTCTGCTTTCGTGGCAGCTTTGGGCTGCGACGTTGATTTTGAAGCTGCTTTGGGTGCAGCGTTCTCGGAGGGTATTTGCGTGGTCGGAGGAGGTTTGGACGATTCTCCAATTCCGTGGGGGATGGAGACTCGTGGAATTTCCTCAACAATCTCAACTGACCCGACCATATCAGTATCGGGCTCAGCGACGGCGGAGATGGCTTTTACTTTCCCTTTCATTGAGGCCTTGCTCATCTCCGCGCATTTCGGAGACTGGAAAAGGCCAGATAATTGATCGAGAGCCCTCGGGCGGACTCTCGTGTTGTCTATCGTGACGTTGGGACGCCTTTTACGAACAGGTGGAATGGTTAAAATGCCAGCGACTCGATGACAATTCAATGAGGGAATGCGACGAGCGCGAGAGGGAGGGAGAGGTGGAAAATAGGGATATTCAAAAATTCGAATTTCAAAAAATTGTGTGATGTGCCTGTGTGTGTTTATTGTACTACTCGAGTCTATGACTATCTAGTACATTGGGCTCCTCTCTGACCCAGGCCACACCTTGTACAGTGCTCCTATCCTCTTTTGTTACTTGAAAGATCATTGATATATTCCCCTTGATGAATAGCCATTCAGCTCATTGTTTACCCGTGGAATTCAGCCACCTTTTCCACGGAACCTTCTACCCAAAAAAAATAAAAATGGTAGCAATGGAAACTGCGTGCGCGGGAAGAATTCTCAAAAAACCTGCAGACCCAGCCAGGCGAGGCCTAGACACCAGGACCACACGAGGTGCGCATATTCATCTGTATCTCCCTTCTTTGTAACATTCGAGGCCGACTTGATCCAATCCGCCATCTTTGTATCGAGTGCTGGGTACGCTCCGGAAACTCATCGGATGGCTTTTCCTCCATGGTCAAGGGTCAGTGATGAGAAGGGTTCCGATCCTACCATCCTATCTGATCGTGGTTGGCTTCATGATAATGGTAATAGGGGAATGTGTTGAGAGATGAAGACAATACAGACGGCGAAAGCGATTGGGAATCCTCGTCGAAGTGAGGACTTTGGTACTCAATCTCGGCTCTGCAGACTCGACAGTGAGAGCTGGAGGTTTGTAGGGGACACCACTGACAGGTGTTGAGAATAGCCCCCCTCCTTTATAGGTTATGAGCCCGGATTGTCGCTCGCGTAATCACGTTGTATCGCCCGGAGTTTGATACTATCTTCGTTGTGGGCAAGAAGAAGGGCATATGCTCTACTTGTGCCAAATCAATCCAACCAGAAGGCCGTCACCTTCTTGAATCCAAGACAAGGCCATCGCCTTTGAGTTGCGATCTCTAAAGAACAGTGAATAGCCGTCGCCTGAGAAGACAGGAGGTTATCGCCTTCGTTAGAGAAAGCACAGGTCGAGTACTGAAGATAAGGGGTCGCTGCGAAACCCTCGTGAGGATTGATGGTTGCTAAACGCACCGGTAGCCAGCCCGTCGATGGACTCTAAGAGAAAGAACCCATGGGTCAAATGATTCGACCCGAAAATTATATAAAAAAAATGAATACAAACTGACAGCTACAGTATGAAAGCTGCTCCCGACATTACAATCTTATAGCTACTTTACGACAGCTGTCACAATTAGAATTGTTCGACTTTCTTTTCCGAAGCTTGTCGAATCCCCAACCTGACAGCTTCTATCCGAAAACTGTCGCAAAATTTCTCGCTGCTGATTTCCGACAGCAGTTCGAACCTCAACCCAGCAGCTCCGCTTCGAAAGCTGCCATTTACACTCTCAAGAATATCCCTTCTTATAGTCTTTTCATACATCTAAGCAGAGGGAAACTCGTTAAATTATCCGACAACATAAAATTCTCTGCAATAGCCAAGGCTTCATTATTAACGCCCTCTCAACGGCTATCTTCGTTAAATTTTACATTGTCGTGGGGGAAATCAAGTCAAAAAAAAAAAAAGTAGAAGAATAATTGGTGACAAAAATACCAAAGCAAGATAGAAATAAAACTAAGTGGGGCTTGTGATGATGTGAGAGAGCTATCACACGGAACGCTCTGGTAAACAAATCTTCTGAAGGGATAGACTAGAAGGGCATATTGCTGGTAGAGGGAAACCATTCAATGGAACACTAGTGATTTGGATGTAATTAATGCCGGAACAACCACAATACGGAAACTGGGGGAGTGTACGTGAGAGCTAAGAAAGGCTGACGCTTAGACGCCAAATCCTGGGGGAGCCTTTGAAGTTAACGACATCAAATTGAAAGGTTACTCTGAAAAAGCTTAGGACTCTATGGTGTTCGTGGGGGAAAATGAGAGGAGATGAATCAATTCCAAATGATACGTTGCTTAGGTTGATTCATCGAAAATTTGAAGACAAATTTGGGAGTAGAGAACTAACCATTCAAGCAAATGTCTAATGAAGCAAAGATACAGGAAGACAAGGGGGGGACTATTCTCAACACCTGTCAGCGGTGTCCCCTATGAACCTCCAGCTCTCACTGTCGAGTCTGCAGAGCCGAGATTGAGTACCAAAGTCCTCACTTCGACGAGGATTCCCAATCGCTTTCGCCGTCTGTATTGTCTTCATCTCTCAACACATTCCCCTATTACCATTATCATGAAGCCAACCACGATCAGATAGGATGGTAGGATCGGAACCCTTTTCATCACTGACCCTTGATCATGGAGGAAAAGCCATCCGATGAGTTTCCGGAGCGTACCCAGCACTCGATACAAAGATGGCGGATTGGATCAAGTCGGCCTCGAATGTTACAAAGAAGGGAGATACAGATGAATATGCGCACCTCGTGTGGTCCTGGTGTCTAGGCCTCGCCTGGCTGGGTCTGCAGGTTTTTTGAGAATTCTTCCCGCGCACGCAGTTTCCATTGCTACCATTTTTATTTTTTTTGGGTAGAAGGTTCCGTGGAAAAGGTGGCTGAATTCCACGGGTAAACAATGAGCTGAATGGCTATTCATCAAGGGGAATATATCAATGATCTTTCAAGTAACAAAAGAGGATAGGAGCACTGTACAAGGTGTGGCCTGGGTCAGAGAGGAGCCCAATGTGCTAGATAGTCATAGACTCAAGTAGCACAATAAACACAAACACACACACAGGAAGACAAGGAATACGCCCAATTAGTCTATGGAAGAGTGTCAGAATTTAGAATAATTGGGGCTATCAAGTAGGCCCCGTTGTTGGTACACACGTGACTACAAATTCTGTACTGAGTTTCACTTCGGTAGTTACTTGAACCAATGCGCCCTACAATCTCAATGACTGAGGGGTCATTGTTTCCTTAATATAAACTTACCTTGCGACATACAAACGCCCAAGCTTTACAAACCGGAACCGTTATAAGTCTCATGGTATGAAAGAGCTTTCAATAGTTTTGGTGAAGTCAAAGAAGCTTATTGTTCGAGGTTTCTGCAACCTGACATGATCTTTCTCATTCTATTCTTGCTTACTTTCAATCCTTTGTTTAAATCGTGCCAAAAATTTAATCAAAAATTTTCACAAATTATTGACCTGATAATTATGCACCTGAGACAGATAATTGTGGCTACGTAGTCTGAATTCTTCATCATATCAGACGTATTTTTAATTTGGAACTGAACCCTGCATTGCGTGTAACAAATCTATTTGACCAGCAAATCGTACAATTTGGGAAATATTTTATCCCCATGAAAGATGGATTACTATTCTCAAAGACGAGTCGATTCATTCAATAGTGATTGCCCAGCCAGCAAAGACGGATTCTTCACATTCTAGTGGTGCCGGTGTAATTGCTCAGTATGCTCTGCATATCTAGGATAGCCAAGAAGAATCGCATCCGAATCGAAGTCGTAAGCAACCTCAAACACATCTCTATTTGACGACTTTTCGACAATGCCTCTCTCATCATTATCATCTGAGTCCTCAACCCATCTCTTACCACGCATCATCTCGCCTCAACGACCAATAAAGAAGTAGCTCCAATTGCATACAGGAGCTTGCCCCATTAATTTCTGTTGGAAAATATACTCTGTACGATATTATATGGATAAATATGATGAAGTAAAGAAGACTTGATATTTTACGACTATGGGAACATTGGACTTATATATACATCTAATGGAGAAATTCCCGCTAGCCTCGTGTGCCTGTCAAACCTAGTGATGACTAGCCACCTCTCATCTACCATGATGAGCCAAGATACACTGTAGTACGTAAATATCCAAACGTATAGGCGACAGTAGGCGCGATTAGCGTACTCAGGACATTTGTAGAGAGAGTCGATCTTGTAGGGAACCTGAGACGAAACAGGTAATGATTGAGTCCTAAATTCGAGAGTCAGAATTTCCAACAATTTCCAGCCATCACTCACTACAAATTTACGACGCTATTTATACCCGCAAGGAGAAAATCAAGTCGAAAAATACAAAGTTGGGGTCTTGGTTTGTGGGGGACTGATGCTCTAATGGGGTTGTACATCTTGAGAAAGAACAGGCTGCTGAGATGTGGAGGGAGAGGGGGAACAGGTCTCAAAAGAGCATGCCGGGACTGATATTTTCGAGGACTTTTCAACTTTGGATTTTTTGTGGGTGCCAAGACTAAGATTACGGCTAATTAGCCAGGAGGGCTTCTATTGTCGATGAGTCAATGGCATTCCCCAGCTCCCTGGACGGCACAAAAGAAGTTGGGCTAAGCTATCGTACAGCAATCTCGCTGTGTCAAGACTTTTCTGACATTTCAGCACGACCTTCGGGAAGGAGTTTGAAGGAGGGTAAAAAGGCAGATGGTGAATTTTCCGAGGTATCCATAATTCTGCAGCTTCCAGAAGGGTGGCTATGTCTTCGGACATAGTCCTAGTTTCGGTATTGAGAGAGCCCCGCACCCATTGGTCTTTGCGGCTTTTCCCGGCTGCCATATATCTGTAAATGGCCATTGTTTCGTTCGCTGGAGATGGGATATAATGAAGGGCAAAGGGCTCTAGTAAGTGTGTGATCGAACGAGGACCTGTGAGTGGTGGCACTATTTGAGGGGTGCTGTATGGCTATCATTGGAGATGTATTACTAGAGAGGTATCTTTGGCCTGTAGGCAGAGAAAACCTACATGACTTGGCATTGTCATAGACTCGATCGGGCAATAAACACAAAACAAAAAATACCGAATGCTAAGCCATCCAGTATTTTTTTTTTTGCATCAGATTTAAATTGCGTATGCAGCTATCTAGCTATGACACAATATTAAAGAAAATTACAGAAAAGATGACTCAATTCACAAGAGGAGCACTCATGTCTCGGATTTCATTTGCAAGTACCACTGCGAATGTTACGGTTTGACCGTGGTTTAGCTTAGGCGGAGACCTAAGCGGAGTTTGGGGGCGTATTCGGGAGAGTGTTACATATTATCTTGTATCAAGCGACTAAGTTTCACTTGGCCACATCACATTAAAGCTAGGAAGGAATGTGAGACGGCGAAGTAGAATTGCCAAGTGAGAGAGTCAGCTAGATGGCAAAGATGACGACGGGCAGTGGCGGAGCAATATGTCATTCTCACCAACAGAGTACGTATTGGATGAGCTAGAAGGATGTACAAATAGTCATTGCCCGTAGTTGTGATACTTCTCTCTTCATATAGTTTAATCTTTCTAAAAGTACACTACAACCAGCTTGGTTTCGTCACAGCGAAGTTATGGTGGCTTTTTCTTCACCCCAAGTCAACCCTCATCCGTGAATACCCACCCAGGGGAACCTCTCAAGAACCCTGAGTTATCCAGACATGCCTCCATCATCTTTCAACTTTTCTCCGCGCGATATGTGATTTGAGGTATCTCTTTCCTAAGTGGAGTAGGTGCCCAGGCTACTCAAACTATACCAGAGAACACCACCAGGAGGCGAGCCACGGCACCTTCCATCGTTGGCTCGTATTTATAGTGTCAGCTGCACTCTCGCAAGCGAAGTCTTGGCAAGCACAAAGCCCAATTCGTAAAAATTCCTTGCCAAAATTCGGAATTTCACGCCCTTCGAGGTTATATCCATCCTTTGCGTCACCTTGTAAACTTGTCCTAATCCCTCTCACGTCCATCCCAAAGAGCTTTCTCCCAGATTTGTGCGCCATGCTTTGCTTCCTCCGTCGAGTATAAATATCGGCGTGGGCGTGTATTTGGTGGTCAACTGAGACCAGAGAAGGTCGAAGAGAGGAGTGATCATTGGGATGAAGATGTACTAGGTCGTACTTGTAGGCTTGATGAGACTTAGGTAGGCGTCAAACTCGTTGGGAGCGGAAAAACGACGTGGTGGAGTAATTTTAAATTTTGCCTCGTGGGCCAACTTCTTTGATGTTGCGAAATTCGACTGAACATAGCTCTACGAGAACATTTCACTTCCAGGTTCGTAGAGGACACCGCTTACAGGTGTTCAGTCTTGCCCTCTAGCCATCCAGTATGCGAGAGTCGATATGGTGGCAATGAATCTGCATTTGGCCTATCCGGAAACTTCTCCATAACATTACCCCTCTGGATTGGAGAGTTTTATCACAAAGTACTGTTGGAGCTAAGGGAAAGTCTCTTCTTAATCATGTAATTAAATCGTACAGTATTATAGCTAGATACGCTAAACAAACCAGGGGAGAAAAATAAAAAGAATTTAGTCACAATTTAGTTCTGAAGACACTCGACTCCTCCCATGGAACTTCTTTCAAGGCTTCTCTAGAATATAACCCTGATTTAAGAATGTCTCACCTAATCTGCGTGCAAGACATACCATGAAAAAATTAATTTTCACAAACGGGTAAGATAAAAATGACTGGATTATGCTTTTTGTTTCGTTTGTAATGTTTCTCGTTTGATGTTATTATTATTATTATCAATTCATTTTATTGTCCTGTCTGAGTCTATGACTATGTAGAACATGCAGGTCCTCTCTGCCTACAGGCCAAAGATACCTATACCAGTAGTATATCCCCTCCTATGCCTCCCATACAGCTCCCCTCAAACAGTACCACCCCTCACAAGTCCTCATTCGATCATACACTAAGAGGAGTCCTTTGCCCTTCATTATCTTCCCTCTCCAGGCAACGAAACGATGGCCATTTGCGGGTGTATGGCAGCCGGGAAAAATCGCAAAAACC